TAAATTTAATTTTAAAATAGAATAAAATACAAAATGGTTATTTTAAATTTTAATAATATTTCACAATATTGCTGTTTTTACTGTATTTGCTATAAATTAATACAGCCTTGGTGAGTATAAGTGATTTATTTGAAAAACATTTTAAAATATCTTACCAACCCCAAACTTTTGAACGTCAGTGTGTTTACATGCATAGTAGAAAAATGTGCTTAAAGTGATACTTTACCTGAAAATTTGGTTGTGAGTTCTGAAAACTGATCATTCTCAAATGTATCATAATCTTTTACTCATCCACATGTTATTACAAACTTGCATGGCTTTGAGTCCCTTTTTTGGTGAACTATCTCTTTAAATTTTTAGAACTTTGTGTGAACAGATCCTAGTTAGGATACAACACAAATGCTACAAACTATATTCATTTAATAATTAGATTACCATTTAAAGATGCCTTTTGTTAATTCAGATTTGACAAATGAAGTCAATCTCTATTGGAATTTTTTATTTAATAATGCTGTGTTAAATCTTTCTAGTATTATGGAAGTCACCATATTTTACTTAAATATGCACAATATATTGGTACCATATTGTTTTGCAGCACTATCACTTTTTTACTTGTAAGGGCTGATATTGGATATTTAAATTCATGTATTTGCCATCATCTGATGCTCCCTAAAAGCTAATCTTCAGAAACACTGAAATGTAAAATAAAGAACAGTTAAACATAAAAGCAAATCTCAAAATAAGTATTCATTTTTCATGTTGTAATGATGCCTTTTTAAATGGCTGATTATTAGTATTTGTATATTTAATTATATATTATATAATATTTTAGACAAAATAGTATAACATATTAATATCAGTCATTTATCAGCCCATACATGAAAGTAATTAGTGCATCAACTAGAATTTTAATGCAAGTACTTTAAGTTCCTAGCTGGCAATATAGTTACACAGAAATGTACTTTAAATGCAGCTTAACTTTGGTTAATTTATTCATATCGGTAGTATTTGACTTGCTCCTGATAGCTGTTGTATGAACAGGACAGTTTCAGAATCACATCTGTCAGTAAATAGAGTTGCCAAACACTGACTTTGTGAATGTAGCCTGTGTGAGGTTGGCCCTGCACATACAGCATATCAGAAGCCCCTCCGCTCTGCCCTGCTTACACAGATTGGAGATTTATAACCTCCAGACAGATGTAAAGCAGACTCTAAAGTGTTGACAAGTGTCTAAAGAGGAAGAGGACATAAGGTGCATGTGTGCGTGTGTGCGTGTGGCCCTGCAAGTGAATGTGCTTTCATGCAAGGTATGTCTCATGTTGAGGCTATGCAGGGCTTACAGAGCCCTAAGAGTTTTTTTTTCTACTTCAGGATATTGAAAGTTTGACTGTTTGGGTAGATTTCTGTTCACGTGGATTTGTTAGTCTTTCGACCGGAGGATGTGTCGGGGAAAGAGGCTAAAGATCACAGATGTGTGTAATGAAATCAAATCCCTCTGGTCTAAACTAAGAGGAAATTTTTACTGAAGGACTCGCTAGTGCTCTCATTGCACATTAGTGCCATTACTTATCATTAAGCATCAAGCCATCAGAGTGAGCGGACAAAGGATATCCATGTTTTATAAAGAAGTGGAAAATGTAAAACTCACTGAAGTAATAAAGCATAGATTGTCTCTCCATAGGCTGGGGACGACTGGGAGAGGAAAAGGGGGGTAAATATTCAAGCCGGTGAACATCATTTGTGCAAGTGGATGTATAATTCAGCATGTTATTTCAAAACTAGCTAAAGCAAACTTTCAAAGAATGAGGCTTAATTAAAGGAAAGCCACACACCAGTAGAACAGTAGAATTATTTCGTAAGAAGCATTTCAAATATTGTTCGTTGCCCTTAAAAATACTTTCTCTAAATTAGTGTAAAAATATATTGTTGGCAAAAAATGTCTTTTAAATTTGAAATTTAAAAATCTTTTTTTTCTCATGCTTTGAACACTGGAGAACACAAAGTTTTAGAAGATTGAAAAGTTTACAGAAGTTTTGAAATTCTGACTGATACGGTAATCCGATACGATAACACAATAATGTTTCGTGATCAATAGTTATATGTATTAAGCATATTAAATGTATGTACTGTTAATTACTATTTTGACTAAATTAAAACTAAAACTCTAAACAAAAAAAGTTGTTTTAAATGCTACAAGTGATTTTTGCATCACAGCTTTATAATGTACAGTATGAAAAAGATTCATGTTATTCAATATTCATTCAAGAATAACTGTGAGTGTTAGATTACAGCAATAAGGGAATCTAAATCGAAAAATAGAAGAAATAAGCATGAACAATTAAATATGTAACATTGGCTGAAATAGTATGGATATATTATACATTCTTAAACTATTTTAGATTCTTGGATTTCTTGGACAGTAATCAAATGTAAGCATTTTTTTTTACATTGACAATGTGAATAAAGAACAGATTGTTTGGCTTCCACTGAATGTCAGTCATTAAAGCAAAAATGGTATAAAGATATAAAAAATACTGTAATTCATACATATTTTCAGTGTAACTTTTCACTTGTTACATTGAGTATATTATTTGTAATGAAAAAATAAATAAATACTGTGTCTATAAAATATTATCATTTTAACCAGAGACGAAAGCAGTTTGTTGATTCTTTGCTTTGATCTTTCTCTCAGTTCAGTCGGTTTGTGAGCTCTGAGCATGTGATTGAGCTGAAATCTAGAAGACCCACAGTACAAACCTGTCAGAGGTAATTGCGCTGCCAACCTGAGCAGGCAGGAAGAGGGTGGGGGTAATGTAGGCCAGTATCCACTTTACACCATGACTCAGAGCTTTACTTACCATAGCAGCCAGAAAATACATAGCCTGTACTTTTCTATTTTTGAAAGCACAGCTCTAAAAACATCTCAGTAGTTGTAGCTAAGCTGAAGTCATCGAGACCACCAACTAGGTGGTCTCGTTTTACTTGAAATAGAAGTCATGATTCATTAATGTGCATCTGCACTCATTGTCCAGCTCTAGTGAAAGTGATTTCTGACAACTTAAATGGGTAAAAAGCGTTCTCATATCTGTATTAGATAACCCTTCCCGTGTCAAGATCTTTTATGCCGATTAACAAGGGTGTGTTCTGTAACCAGATACCATTACCTTGAGGAAAAAAAGAAGGTAATGGATTCTTTTGAATCCAAGGTCTTGGATTCTCTTTTTATGGATTCAGCTGACAGGGTTTGCATTATCTCTGGGGTTTCCATGCTCAGATGCCGCAGCAGATTGTCTCTGTACCAAGAGGCACATTTACATGCTCCTTATCTCCCCCAGATGTTCTTCAATGACACAGACAGTGATAAAAAGGGACATGTCCGGGGACAGTCACGTGAATGTTTCACCTCTATTGTCGTATTCCATTATCATTAGTTGGTTGCTTCCTAATCGAACTAACAGTTGGTGAAGCGTTTCTTGTGACGAAATTGCAGCAGCGGTTGACAATGTTATGGGGGTTTGCGTAGCATCACTGTCATTCACCGAACAACACAACCAGAAAGCAAACAAGGATTTTCACATGATTTTTTTTTTTTAATGTAAATACAGTACTCTCTAGGCGGACATGTTTGACCGTTGCGTTTGCGCCTCATGTTATTTGCAGCATCATGCATATGACATGATGTTCTAAAAGTTAAAATAAGTTCAACTTTTAAAAAGCGCATCTCAAGATCTTGTTTTTTCCCCATAAATAAAAATATAAATATATATAAAAATATGATGTTGTTTACTTTTTTTTATTTTTAATTTAAAAAAAAAAAAAAAAATTTTTTTTTAATTTTAATATTAATAAAATTTATTTCTAGATTTAGTTTTTTTTTTATTGCTGTTTAATATATAGTTAGGGCACTTTAAGTAATTTAAAAACCCTGAAGTGTCATAAAAAACTATCAAAAATAGTTTTAAATATATTTATTATTGAAATTATCTAATCATTTTGGCTTTTTTTCCCTCCAAATATTTTTTAAACACTAAAAGGATTGTTAATGGAACCATTAGGGAACCGGAATCAATAAGAAGAATCGAAACCAGAATCGTTCAGTTATTTACTGTACGATTCCCATCTCTGCAAAGGCTTTTTTTTAAATAAAGGACAAGCCATTCAATATGTCTCACCTGAGCTTCCCGTTTCAATAGGAATTACATTAAAACGGGAAGGGAAACTGCCCTCACCAACTGATTTATAGGGTCTTTAAATAGTATACAGATTTGCTGGGGCCACGGAGGGGGCAGAGCTTGTTGACACTGACACTGCCCTTCGGAACTGAATCACACATGTGTGAAGGGAAAATGATGAGTTTGCATTCTGTTCATCACTTTTCACCAAACATCTGCTCAGATAGACTAATGTTGATCAGGTCTCTCTGTCAATTGTCCGTGAAAACGCTTTCTTCCTTACTGGAAACGGGTGTCTTTGAGTAGAAATATGCATTTGATTCCACAAGGGCTGACCTTTGACCTTCACTACACTTAGTACCTGTGGGCCCTAAATAACTAAAGCAGGCCTCAGTGTGACTGCTTGTTTCCAATAAATAACAGATGTTCCAGACAGGAAACAAGGACAGCATTTTTTGAAAAAAGAGTTCCACATGCTGAAGCGAGTCCATCCACCTCGTTCTCGTTAAAGTGTCAGTCACCGTCCATTTTAACCTCCGCACGGCTCATCTCATCTGCAGAAGGGACTTGTTGGTTGTGTTTTATAGGCTCTACGCATCACCCTAACATCTCTCTCCGTGCTCTTGTCACACTAACCTAGGTGTGTTATCAGACCTGTGTGAGTTGACGGCACAGTGTTTCTCTCATTTGATCTGTGCGATGTGAATGCTACAGGCCTGTTCTTCACAGGCAGCAGTGCTGGCGGCTGTCTGAAGTGAATAGAGAGATGAACTAACCAAGGCCCAGAGGCTTCATCCTGTGCTTCTGTGTTTGTGTGTCTCTGTGCAGTGATGGGGGAGAATCAGAGGAGGATGTTGGAGGCTGTCAGCTACTCTTCCCGCTACGCACTTGGACTCTTCTACAAAGCCGACACACGAATCGACATCCTTTGGGCGGCCAAGTACGTCTCCAGTAATCCCTGCATTCGCTTCATCGCCATAGATGATAAAAAGCGCAATTTAGGTCAGTGTCTTCATATTTTCCTCCTCGGCTTCATCCTGTGCTTCTGTATTTGTGTGTCTCTGTGCAGTGATGGGGGAGAATCAGAGGAGGATGTTGGAGGCTGTCAGCTACTCTTCCCGCTACGCACTTGGACTCTTCTACAAAGCCGACACACGAATCGACATCCTTTGGGCGGCCAAGTACGTCTCCAGTAATCCCTGCATTCGCTTCATCGCCATAGATGATAAAAAGCGCAATTTAGGTCAGTGTCTTCATATTTTCCTCCTCTCATCTCCAACTCCCGCTATGACATGTTTCATTCTGTTTCTCTACAATTTCTGTTTCTTTCACTGTTTCATGTATCAGGATCTTTTTTCACACTGCACACAAATCTGATTCAGTTTTTAAATCCAATGTTTTTCAAATCCAAACTGATGCCGATTGACTTTTACACATGGCCATGGTCATAAATGGTTTCAGACAATGACAGCAATGGCATAGTTTAGACGGTGACAGTTTGCATTTTTATTTGGTTTTGTTTTTTATTTTTTGGTTGACAGCCCGAAAGACATTTATGACACCCTTCCCTTCCATTCCACACTGTTCCTGCCATTGTCTGTCCTTTCTTTGAATTACTTCACTGTCTAATTGAGTTTGTCTGCCTTGAGGTGCCTTAAAAGGGTTGTCTTAAAATTATGCTAAATTTTCATACGTGTATTCACGCAAATGTCTACACGTATGATAATGTGTGCATAATTTTGTGTTCATGTGTGGACATGCATGTTATGTAAGAAATAAAAGATGACAGACTGTTGAATAATTGAAAACCACATGTACATGTGTTTATCTTAAGGTATTTTTAGGCTTTTCTCAGACACATTTTTGTGTGAATTTCCTTACTCTCTGATTACTTGTTAGCCAGGTTAAATCAACCTTACTTACTCAAAAGCGTCAATTATTCTGTTCCAGAGGCCGTTCCAAACATTAGACGGCTAAATTATGCCTTTTAAGGTACCTTGTTCTGGCTAGAGCAGCATCACATTTATCCTTCACAGAAGAGATCATCTCAGACCGCAATATGATGATTTTTTCCCCTAGATGATAGATGGAGTCCAGGGAATTGCTGGTTGTATTTATTTAGCACTGGAAAGTATTGACAATAACTATTGAACAATTTTCTCAAAACACTGTTAATGTGCATAATGACTTCACCCTAGCCTGTAAGATTGAGTCTTGTGCATTTTTTACCAAAGAATTGTCTTGCCCTTTCTCTTTCTGTTTGCTCTGTTTTTTCAAACACCGAACTTCAAAGTCTTCAGTGCCACTTTGTTCATTCTTGAAGTGAACTTTTGCCTGTTTGGTGATTAGATTCACTGTTTTGGACTGCCACCTTGAACCACGTCTGGTGTGCAATATCTGCGAGATGGTCTAGCTGCAGTGTGACGTGGCACTGTCCTTCTCATCCGGTATGCAAACCCCTTTAGAAGGTAGCCAACGTCGACAGCAGACTGTGAGGCAGCTCACTAGATTTGGAAACATAGCTCATGTGTATTCTAGGTGTGTGTGTCTTGTGTGTGTATATGATTTGTGACTGAAATAGCTTTTGCTTTTGAAGAATTTAGATGTGATTGTGTTTGCGAGTTTTTCCTCGCCAAGTCTGTCAGTTCATGACCGTGTATCTGCAGGAGCTCAGTGGAAATAGTCTTGTGAAAACAGCCTCTGCACCTGTCACCTTTCATCCACTCCAGTGTTTCCGAGGGCAACATCATAATTAGGGGAGATGTTAAATTTTGCATTCTGCTGCACTGCTCTTTTAGGCCGTCACGCTCCTTCCAGCCTCCTCAGCCTTCACGCAGCCATGCTTTAATCCTCACTTTCATTTCAGTAATGTGTTTTGCTTGTAGTTCCAGTAAAGTAGGTCTGAGTCTGATCTCACAGAGCAACCCAAGCTCTCTTTGAAAACTTTTTGGCAGGCCGCTAATGATAAGCTATTACTGTGTTCCTAAACGTCTGGCGAAAAAAACCATTTGTGCCGTTCAGTAAATATGGAATGAGCTAGATGAGGGTTGGGTGATGGTTTCCCAAAAACAGAACTGGTTCATAATTGATGTGAATTGGATTACATGTGAAGTCTGAAACTTTCATTCCAAAATGTCAAAGAAAAATAGCTATTCGGAGAAGATTCTTTTTTGAATGGGCGTTTAAGTTATACAGTAATTAGGAACATAGAACGTCTGTCATTTCTTGTACTCATTTCATGTACTGGACCATAATACTAATGTGTCTGGATGTGGGCGTTACAGATGTTAATGTTCTCTGGGTGTGATTAATTGTCTAATTAAAACATTATGTATGTAATTAAAGGAGGAAATTGGAGGAATAGTTCACTCAATAATGAAAATTCTGTTATTTTATTTTCTGTTCAGTGTAAGACATAAAATGTCATTCAGGTTTAGAATTACAGAATATAAGTGTGAGTAAATTGTGTGGGTGTGTTGAAGAATCTTTTAACATAAAAAAATGGCACTTCATTAATTTGTAGATGTGATTTATTCAGTCAGACATGATAAATTCATTCCACGAGCGAAGGGATTACCAAGTTAGTATTTGGATGATGTTCTTGACATGTCAGCCCTCATAAGGTGACCCACTCCATGTAATATAAAATACAGCTTTTATTAATCTACTGATTGTGGAGTGTTCAACTCGTTGACTGTATTTCATGAACATATTTATCAAAAGTACCATTAATTTCTGTATGGATAAAAAGTTTGAATGAGAAAAAATGACTGACTCCACTTTTAATAAATATGTAATGCATTTTTTATGTTATTTTCTGACAGGCAAAAAAAAAAACTGTTTCCTTTTTACCCTGTGAACTTTGTGACAAGCACTTCCCCCACCAAGAAATAAGTGACTCAACCAGCGGGCACAATGCCAGCCCTCTACCCACGCTCCATGACCTCGCTCTCGTGCACAGTCACATTCTGGCACATGCACTCACAAATAAACACTCAAACCTTTTTGTAAAGGAAACTCTCTCTCTCTCATCCTCTGCTTCTCCTTTTCCCCTCCTCTCTGCCTGGTGCTGTGCCAAACACGTATAGTCTGACTGCTCTGTAAACGGAAAATGACCATGCCTCTGTGTTTCAGCCCAGTACTGATATTCATACTGGTCAGCCAAAGTCAACCTTGACTGGTTAGAACAATAATTTCAGCTCTTATCACTTTGGATGCTAAGCTCTTTTTACAAAAACAACACTCCATAATTGTGAGGTTAATCCTTCCATTGATAAATTTGGCTGATTTAAAATGAAATGAGAAAGTTATGTGGAGCTCTCTTTTGGGTTTAGCTGAAATGCTTGTAAACTCTAAACATAAGCAAGTGAATACACTAGAAAAAAATTACTTCCTCTTTCCCTCACTTGAACCATGCCAGCTTTGGAGCTAATATCTGAAACCTTTTCCTGCATCCTCAGACAGCATGTTCTTATTGTGCTTGATTTCATATTTTGTATTTAAAGGGGTCATATGATGCTGCTAAAAAGAACATTATTTTGTGTATTTGGTGTAATGAAATGTGTTTATGCGGTTTAAAGTTAAAAAAACACATTATTTTCCACATACTGTACATTATTGTTTCTCCTCTATGCCCCGCCTTTTTGAAACGCGTCGATTTTTACAAAACTAATCGGTCTGAAAAGTAATATGACCCATTTAATTAGTTGTAAGAAATAACATTCACAAAAAATAGGCCATTAAGCCATTTAAATGCAAAAACCTAATTAAATTAATTAATAATTAATGCGATTTCACTTTTTTAACATTAGTTGTTTAATGTTGCTGTTTGAGCATAAACAATATCTGCA